AATCTTTAGAAAGATCCCATTTATCAATTTTATCCTCTTCAAGATTGTGCATTTCTAGCTGTATTTGACAGTGTCATTATACCATAGACTAGACTTTCTAAACTTGGTCCCACTTTGTCTCTTATGAAGTTTTTGGTTTTGGGCTTTACTCCTAAGTCTCTGATCCATCTTGACTTGGTGTATGGTGGGAGATGTGGATACTATTTTCGTTTTCTTCAGGTAACAGTTCAGTTTCACAAGCACCATTGGTTGAAAAGCAGTTGTCATTTCCCCATTTGATAGGTTTTATTTTCTTGTCAAATATTATTTAATCATAGATAGCTGGGTCCATTTCTGGGTTTTCAATTCTGTTCCATTGGTCTGTGTGCCTGTCATTGTACCAGTGCCATGCTGTTTTAGTTTCTATTGCCATGTAGTAGGTTTGAGGTCAGGGAGTGCTATGCCTCTCACTTCATTTTCGTTTTTCAGAAGTGCTTTGCTTTTTCAGGGTCTTTTTCCTCTCCAAATAAAGTTGACAATTTCCCTTTTGATCTCTTTGAAAAGTAAATTTGGTATCTGTAGATTGCATTTGGTAAGATTGTCACAGTCACAATATTGAGTCTTCCTATCCATTAACAAGTAACATTTGTTTTTTCATTAATTTAGATCTTTTTCTTTTGTAGAAATGTTCTGTAGTTTTCTTTGTATAGGTCTTTTATGTTTCTAGTTAGGTTTACTTCCAAGTATCTCAATTTGAGGTTGGTTATTATAAAAGGCATTGCTTTTCTTGGTTTCTTTCTCTGAGTTCTCTTTGTTACTGTAGAGGTATCCCACTGAATTTTGGATATTGATCTTATATCCTGCCACTCTACTAAATTGGGCTACTGGCTCTAAGCAGGTTTTTTTTTTATTGAGTCCTTCTCTTTTTCTGTATACACTATCCTATCATCTGCATGTAGCAATAGTTTAGCCATCTCTTTGCTGATCTGCATGGGTTTTTTTTTCCTTCTTGCTCTAGCAAGCACTTCCATTACAATATTGAATAGAAGTGGTGACATTTCAGCCTTTGAGAATTATGTTGACTCTTTGTTTTGTATATATACTTTGTTGCATATGTACTTACTGTGTTGAGGAAATTCTCCTCCATTCTATTTGCTCAGTGTCTTTATCAAGAAGGGGTGTTGGATTTTTTCAAATGCCTTTTCTACATCAATTGCTAAGATCATATGGTTCTTGTTTGCTTAGTTAATGTGGTTTTTCTTATGTTGAACTATCCTTGCATATGTGTTATGAATTCCACTTGGTCATGATAAATTATTTTTCTATGTGTCTTGGATTCTATTGGCTAGGATTTTGTTAAGGATTTTTGCATCTATGTTCATGACAGGTATTGGTCTTTAGTTTTCTTTTTCAGTAATATTTTGCCAGGGTTTGGTATGAGCATTATGCTTGCTTCATAGAATGTCTCTGGGAGTGGTCCTTCTTTTTCGATATTTTTAAATAACTTAAGCAGAATTGGTGATAAATATTCTCTGAATGTTTGGTAGAACTCAGCCGTGAATCCATCTGGCCCAGGACTTTTTTTGTGGGGAAGTCTTTTTTGACTTGCTCAGTGTCTTCTTTTGTGATGGATCTGTTCAAGTGTTCTACATCTGTCCATGTCAATCTGGGCAAGGCATGAGTTTCAAGGAATTTGTCGATTTCCTCTAAGTTTTCAAATTTATCAGAGCATGTTGTTGTTGTTGTTGATTGCTGTCGAGTCAAGCATGACTCATGACCCTATGAACTAAAAGGCCTGAAGCCTTTCTATAACTATTGTCATTTATCAAAATTCATAGAATTTCCAGAGACATTTTGTTTAGGAAGTGGATGCCACTCCTGCTTCCAAACTTGTCTTAAACTGGGAGCTCCACCAAACACTGTCCACCATGGGTAACCATTAGGGCATTTGACACCCCAGTGGCACAATGTTCAGCATCACAGCAACCCCAAATTACCTCAGTACAGCATATTGACAGAACAGCGCTAGACCACATAGAAGAATGTTCCTTCAAAATATAATAACAACCGACTTTTAAATATAAAGGCCCTCCTGAAGGTTAAAATCAGAGTACAGTGTTGCATAATATTCTGATACTATCAGTTTAGTTTCATCTGGTTCTGGTGATGTTATCTCTCTCATTAATTAATTTCTGTGTCTTTGTTTTCTTTTGTTAAGTTTGACAATGGTTTTTCAATTTTACTGACCCTTTCAGAAAACCAGTTCCTTGTCTTATGGATAGTTTCAATTGTTTTTCTGTTTTCTATTTCATTTATTTCAGCTGTTATTCTTATCATTTCCTTTCCTCTAGATGTTGTAAAGTTAGTTGTTCTTTTTCTATTTTATGAAGATGTTGAGTTAGATCATTAAGTTTGCTTCTTCTTTTATTATGTATTTGCCATTATTTTGTATTATTTCAATGTTTTTTTAATTTGTTGAGGCTTGCTTTGTGTCCCAATATATGATCAATAATAGGAAATGTGCCATGTGCACTTGAGAAGAAAGTGAATTGAGTTTTAGTTGGGTGCAGTTTCCAGAATACATCCACAAGGTCAAGTTGGCTGAATGTGTAGATTAGATCTTCTGTGTCTTTGTTAAATTTCTTTTGGGTTGACTTATCCTTTGTTAAGAGTGGTGTGTTAGAAGTCTCCTACCACTATTGTGGTGCTGTTTATTTCTTTCTTCAATTCTTTTAACTGTTGCTTTATGTATTTAGCAGGTCTATCATTTGTGCATAGATGTTGACCAATGTTATGTCTTCTTGATATACTGTGCCTTTAATTATTATATAGTGCTCTTTCTCATCTTTTATGGAGATTTTAATTTTGAAATCTATTTAATCAGAGTTTAGTATTTATCTTTTTGTGGATTTCATTTGCTTGGTTTATTTCCCCCCAAGCTCCGTCTTTGATTTTGAGTCTATCTTTCTTTGTGTTTCTTAGATGCATCTCTTGAAGACAACATATTAAAGAGCTCTGGGTTTTTTTTAATCCATTCTGATACTCCCCCCCCCAATTGGTACATTTAGTCCATTTGCATTAAGTATGATTATTGACAAGCCGAGTTTTATCGTTGCCATTTTACTGTGTTTCATTTTTTGTTGTTGTTGTTTCTTGTTACTGGGGTCCATTCACTTTCTTTTGGTGTCTCTGTGTGAATGACTTCCCTTATAGTTCTTGTAGATTTGGTCTAATTTTCACAAAATTCTCCAAGTCCCTTCTTTTCTGCAAGGGATGTGATTTCTCCTTCATATTTGATGGAGACCTTTGCTGGGTACAGGATCCACTGGTGTCAATTGTTTTCTTTCAACTTTCTGGATATGCCATCCCATTGGCTTCTTGCTTTCATGATTTCTGCTGAAAAAATAAGAATTTAATCTTGTTACTTTTGCTTTGTAGGTGACTCTTTGTTTTTCTTCTGCTGCTTTTAGTATTCTGTCCTTATCTCTATTTTGGGGAATTTGACCATGATATGTCCTGATGTTTTCCCTTTTGGGTCTAGTCTATTTGGTGTTTGCTGAACTTCCTGAATGTTGGATTTCCTCATTCTTCATATTACAGGGAAATTATCTTCTAGTACGTCATCCATAATTTTTTCAATGATTTCTCTGTCCTTATCATATTATTGAATTCTAATCATATGTATGTTGTTCATTTTGATGTCATCCCACATGATTCTAATGTTTTCTTTATGTCTCATCACTGATTTTTCTTCTAGTATATTTCCATTGACCTTCTTATCTTCCAACTCACTGATTCTCTGCTCCATCTCTTCTGTTCTACGTTTTTGCTCCTCTAGCATGTTGGACACCACTGCCATTTCAGTCTTAATAGTCTGGATTGCATTTTCATTTCTGCTATTTCTAATACTGTATTGGCTGTACTCTCTACCTTGTGATGGTTTTTTAAAGTTCTTGTATCTACTTATCTATAGTTTCAATCCTTTCTTCCATCTTTTTTTTTTAAGTTGAAGAGCCCCATCAATATTCAAGTTAAAAATAAATGATCTTTCTAAACTGCTTTGTTCTGGGCTTTTTATAGGAAACAGACAAAAAAGCACTTCAGCAGGATAGGGGATTGTGAGTTTGAACATGTCTTGACTTTCCAAATAAGAGAGTAATCTTAATGTGACAGCTTCTCTATCCCAGTAGAAAAAGAAATATTCTCAAAGAATTACAGCCTTATTTGCTTTTCAGATAAGAAAGCACATGCTGAGCCTCTTCTTTCTTAGGAGTTCAGACATTTTTTCAGAGCTTCTTATTTCCTGGGCTCCTCTCCATTGCCAGCTTTTAAGCCTCATAGAGTTGTTGTTGTTTTTTAACTTGAGGTCTTTAATTTTCTGCAATCTGTTTTCTTCCCACTATTACTTTTCTCTTGTATTGTTGAGACAATCAGGTGTTTTTGCCCTAGGCAAGTTAATTCTCCTACAGGGGAATTTAAGTTCTTCCTCTATCTGATGAGACAATATTGTCCTCTAGTGGAGGTTCTTAAGACCCAACCAGACCTACCCAAGAAGCTTTGCCTTCCTTGGGAAACATTATTGATTTCATGAGGCAGCAGTTCTTTTACTTCTCTTGACTACTGATCTCTGAAAAGGTTGCCTCCACAAACATAGCATGAGGATACTTGTAAATATTGTGCTATACTCTCTGCTAATTCCAAAACCAGATTTTTGGCCCCAGGTGGAGTTTGAGGCAGAGATTTTTTTTCAGTCCCTTCATAGAATGATCAGAATACTTGATTGACAGATTTGGAGTTGTTTTTATTTGGGGTGTGTGTGTGTGTGTGTGTGTGTGTGAGATATACATGGTCCGTTTGACTGTAGAATATCAATGCTCTTTACAAGTTCCCTTGCCTATGTACTATGTTCACATATGCAGCTTCTTGCCATGCTAGTGATTCACATTTTACATAGACTATTATATTGGATGCCTGATATACATCAAAATGCACTGTACTTTTCTCATGAGTGTGCCTCTTACCTGAGTTTGGTTTAACAGCATATAAGTGGCCCATCTTCCTGGTGTCTATAACTAGAAGAAGGACAGAATTAGGGGTTGAAAAAAACAAGCCCAAATTACTCTCTGGGTCACATATAGAATGTTGTTGTTGTTCTTGTTGTTATGTGCTGTTGAGTCGTTTGCGACTCATAGCGACCCTATGTACAACAGCCCTAAACCCTGCTCTATCCTGTGCCAATCACATTGCTTCTGACACACCCATCCCGATTACCCCAGTCACTGAATCAATCCACCTCATAGAGGGTCTTCCCCTCCTGTGCTGTCCCTCTACTCTGCCCAGCATGATGTCCCTCTCCAAAGACCTGTCTTTCCTTGCAACATGTCCAAAGTATGTCAGACGAAGCCCCAGAATCCTTGCCTCCAAGGAGCAGCCTGTTTTAACCCTCTCTAGAACGAATCTGCTTGTTTTCTTGGCAGTCCATGGTACACTAAATATTCTTCTCCAGCACCACAGCTCAAAGGCGTCAATTCTCCTTCTATCCTCCCTAGACATTGTCCAACTCTCTGATGCATAACAAGTGATTGCAAAAACCATGGATTGTATCAGGTGTACCTTAGTCTCCAGAGAGACACCGCTGCTCTTGAGTACTTTAGAGAGGTCCCTAACCGCAGACTTTCCCATCGCAATATGTTTTTTTATTTCCTCGCTACTGGTGCCAAGAGTGTTGACCATGGAGCCGAGCAAATGGAAGCTGTGAACAATCTTGATCTCTTCACCATCCATCCTGATGCTACCGATTGATCCAGTGGTGAGAATTTTTGTCTTCTTGACATTGAGTCTCAGTCCATATTGAAGGCTGCAGTCCTTGACCCTCTGCAGTAAGTGCATGAGGTCCTCCTCAGTTTCAGCAAGCAAGGTTGTGTCATCTGCATAACACAGATTGTTGATAGATCGTCCACCAATCCTAATGCCACGCTTCTCCTCATAGAGCCCAGCCTCAAGGATAATCTGCTCTGCATAAAGGTTGAAAAGGTATGGAGATAGGACACATCCCTGGCATACATCCTTTCCAATTTTGAACCATGCAGTGTTGCCCTGCTCTGTTCTGATGACTGCCTCTTGGTCCAAGTATAGGTTTCACATTAGCACAATTAAATGTTCTGGGATTCCCATTCTTCTCAGAGTCAGCCACAGTTTGTTATGATCCACACAGTCAAATGCCTTTGCATAATCAATGAAACACAGATAGACATTCTTCTGGTATTCTCTGCTTTCAAATAAGATACATCTAACATCAGCTACAATATCTGATTATAGGTACAGCACCCCAAGAGGGTTTGTTGTTTGTTTTTCTGTTGGTTTTGTTTTGTACCTTCATAGTAGTTATAGAAAAGTAGCATAGTGGTCACTTTTTTTAAAAATTAAATTTTTATTTTATACAGGTTTACTTGTAAAGTTTGTGTATATTGTATTTCACACCAGATCTTTCCCATTTCCTTTACCCAACTTACTACCACCCATCAAATTGTGCAACCTCATGATTAGAACTCTGCCCATCCTCACTCTCTGCTCTACCCTCATCCCCCTTGCATCCTCATACACATTTTACCAGTTAGCTCTCTATTTCTACAATAATGGTCTTATACAGTATTTGTCCTTATGGCTTTCAGTTAGTTCATTTAGCATAATGTTCCCCAGTCCCTTCCAAGTCATGTAGTAATTTTTTAAATCATTGCTCCTGCATTCTGCATGCTATTTCATCATATATCACAATCCATTTCATTTTGGTTGGTAATTTGGGCTGTTTACATGTTCTTGCAATAGTAAATAATACTGCTAGGAAGACTATACAAATCTCCATTTGTGCCTAAGTTCTTATTTTTTCAGGGTAGGTTCTAAGCAGTGAAATAGCTGTGTCATATGGAATATCTATGTTCAGCGTTTTGAGGAAACACTAAACTGCCTTTCAGAATAGTTGTATCATTCTTCAATCTACCAACAGTGTATAACAGTTCCAATATCACCACATCCTCTCAAACATTTATTACTTGCTGTCCTATTTAACTTTGCCACTGCTACAGGAGTGAAATGGTATCTCATTGTGGTTTTCATTTGTGTCTTTTTTATTGGCAGTGATTTGGAGCATTTCTTTATGTATCTGTTGGCTTTCCGAAAATCCTTCTCTCTAAAATGTCTTTCCTCCAAGTTGTAAAACAGCCCAGTGGTAGATGGAATTTGCTCCAGGACTTAAGAAGCATAAATGACAGCTGAGCCTCTACATCTTGTGGTTCCTAACCTGTACACTATAATAGACAAAGTGCTAGTCTATAGGCCGTTTATTGTAAGAACCACCTTCCCTCTGTAACTTGATTTGTGC